GGACTCCCCCAGTGGGGAATCAAGCCACGCCACCAGGCCCAGGGACAGGCCCCACATGCACCGACGCCCCTGGCCCAGCGAGGACTCATCAGGCGATGCAGCCTACACCAGCCCCCCCCCCCCACCAGCGCCGCCGTTCCCACAGCCCTGCAGTTCACTGTGGACGCTCACACGCTTCTCACCGGGATCATCAAAGCAGGAGCAGCCGCCACCAGCATTCGCCTTCACAGGACTCAGGTCAGAGCCGATCCCCGGCTTTGGGACGCTCCTCTTCCCCTGCGGCTTCCATCCACTCCTCTGATGGCTAGGCCCTGGTTAAGGACCTCTCTTTCTCTCCTGCTACCACACACCACCTCCTGCAGGACCTAGGGCTCCTCATCAACCATGACAAATCTCTTCTTTCCCCCACACAGTTCATATTCTTCACAGGGGCTCGCCTGGACACTTCCCTCGCCAAAGCCTTCCTACCACAGCCAAGGGCAGAAACCCTCACCTCACTGGCCACAGCTGTCAAGGCCGCACCTCTCTCCACTTCCCACACCACCCAGAAGCCGCTGGGCCTCATGGTCTCCATGGTATCGGTACTGCAGCCCGCAAGGCTCCACATGAGACCTCTTCAGCTGTGGTTCTTGGAAACCTTTGTGTATAACGAAGATCCCCACACAACCCATCTAGCCCCACCCGCAGCGGTCAGGGAGTCCCTCGGCTGGTGGAGCCTCACAGCAAACCTCACCACCGGCATGCCTTTCCTTCCCCCTCAGCCGTCCGTGACCATCACCACCAACACGTCCAACACAGGCTGCGGCGCCTTCGAGCCCCTGGCCATGTCAGACCTCTGCCTTCTCCCCTGGAAGACTGCATTCCTGGTGGCCATCACATCTGCTCACTGTGCCAGTAAACTAGCCGCCCTGCGAATCGACGCCTCCTTCACCACGCTTCACAGGGCCAAGGTCATCCTCCACCCGGACCCATGCTTCACCCCCAAGGTAACGTCCCCATTTCATGTGAACCAGGACGTTGTCCTTCCAGCCTTCTTCCCCAAGCCATCCACCCCCATCGAGGCCACCCTCCACCTCCTCGACATGAGGAGGGCCCTCGCCTTCTACAGAGTCCTGACTAAGCCTTTCTGCCGCTCTGAGCGCCCTTTCGTATGCTACGAGGGCCGCAGAGCTGGTGAACCCGTCTCCAGCCGAATGCTCTCTAAGTTTGTCTCCAGCACCATCACCCTCACCTACAAGATGGCAAGCATTCCACTGACGAACCGCCCGTGCGGTTTCTCCACACGTGCTCAAGCCACATCCACTGCGCTGCTCGCTGGTGTCTCGCTCCAAGAAATCTGTAAGGCTGCGACATGGTCCATGCCCTCGACCTTCGTCCGCCACTACCAGCTAGACATCCGTGCCAGAGGGGACTGCGCCTTCGGAAGGGCGGTTCTCTCTTCAGTTCTTTGGTGACAATAGCCCCTCCTCCTGGACAGTAAGATTGCTAGTCACCCGTAGGTGTGATTGCACGGAGGCCACGAAGAAGAAAGGCAGGTTGCTTACCTACAACTGTCGTTCTTCGAGTGGTCATCCATGCATACACACAACCCGCCCTCCGCCTCACTGGCTGTTGTCAGCTTCTCGCCCTGCATGGGCTAGGGCAGGGCACGGTCACCGTTGTATCCTTCACAGGTTCCATGGATCCCTTGCATGCCTGGGACAACTGAGGGAATGGGCAGGAGCCCCCCGCCCCCGTTTATGCTACCTGCACAGGGGCAGGCCGGGCTCCTGGAAGCTTTGGAAGTTTTCTGCGATCGAGGCCTTGCACTCCGTGGCAAGCCTGTGGGTGTGAATACACGAATGACTGACCACTCGGAGAATGACAGTTACAGGTAAGCAACCTGCCTTTTGAGGTGGAAATTACCCTGCTGAATGAGAAGGCAAGTTGTTCCCAAGTGGAGACTTAGGCAGATGGCAGATGGCATGTCCCATGGCTTGTTTAAGCCACTGTGATCCTTCAAACTGCTTAGTGAGGCTTTCTCTGCCATGACTTGGATGAGGTTGCAATATAAGGCAGCTGTTTTGCAGAAACCAATGATCTTAGGTTGCAAGCCTAAACATACTTATTAGAGCGTGAGTCTTACTGCAGTTAGAGGGAATTTCTTCTAAGTAGAATGCTTTAGATTGTGCTGCATATAACCTTTTTTTTTTTTTTTTTTTTAAGGAAGCTGAAGGGCTTCTGGTCCCTTCCTTTCTCCCGAACTTCTTGGAACTAGTGCATTTTCCTTGCACATTTGCTTAAAACTTCACAGTCCTGTGGGTGGAAGAAGGATGCCTAAAATAAAAACAAAACATCACCCATAATTTTGTTTTTTGGTTTTTTAATTATCTGGAGTCCCTGTGATTTCTCCACCCGTCTGGCTCACACTGTTCCACTGTTTCTTTTACCCAGCCATGGGTCTAAAAATAATTCTAAATAATAGAAAGCTAAACACAAATAACACAAAGTAGAAGGGGAAGAGAGGAAGTAGGAAGCACAGCCTAGATTTAAATTCAGTGCTTATTTTCTCAAAGGAAAGATATGCTAAAGTGCAAGTAGGTTGGATCTGCACGTGGTATAGTTCTTGGTTTGCATCAGTATGCACTGACCTAGCTCACCATTCACTTCCCAGGGAATCCAGAACTCCAGCTGGGCTGAAGATCCTGGGAGATGGGACTGCAACTCTGAACAAACTAACCAATGGGCGGGGGGGGGGGCACATATTCCCTCCTCTCCCACAGTTACTGGGTTGACCCGCAGTCCTGGGTGCATGCTGCACACATTGCGCCAAAAGAGGAATGCATCATCCAAGAGGATATGCATTTGCATTATATTTGCATGTGCTCATTCATATGTATAGCTAAACATTCAGAAACTAGTATAATTTAAATTGAAAAATAGCATTCATTCATTCATTCATTCATTCATTCATTCATTCATTCATTTCTGTACCTCCCAATAGCTGAAGCTCTCTGAGTGGTTCACGAATTGAAAACCATGAAATACAACATGACAGAAAGCAATAATGTATTTTTTAAAAACTCCAGTATGATATTAAAATATTAGCCAAATCAGACCTAGCAAATGTAAAGAGATGTAAGATAGAGTTCTAGATTTAACACTGAACAATTTAATTGCCTGAAAAAAGGGCTTGAGGAAAATGCAGTGTAGGCATCATCACACCTTATCAGAGAGGAGAGTACTGTAACTAAGTTCAGTCTTCTGTCCCAGTGTCAACTGTTAAAGCCCTGATAGCCCATACTTCTTACGGTTCTTAACATTTAAAGTTAACTTTAGCTGGGCAGAGTTCTCCTCAAAGAGAGAACTGTCCCCTGTAAAGTAGGGCACGGAACCACCTAAATCTAACTTTGCCACACATCAGATCAAATAGCCCGTCACCCTTTCCTGCTCGGAGGCTTCTGTGAATTAGCCTTTGAAGTACGTATCAAACCATCATTGCCCCTATTCCTCCCGGAGCCTAGATGGCTTTTGCGTTTATTTCCCCTTCACCAGTTCCAGTCCTCTGGCCAAAATTTGTTTTCCCCATCCGTCTTCTAAATGGGTTCTCCTCACAGGTTAGTCTGAGCTTTCCTGTATCCAGCAAGGGAAGTTGCCTTCTGCAGCGGTGCAGCGGTACAGAATTGGCCTCTTGCTGACTTCACACTTGAAGCCTGGCTCAGAGGAGAGCAGGCAGTCAAAGGGACGCCATGGGCAAATAGGGGAGCAAACGGTTTGTCAGAGGGAGGGGAAAGCCAGCTCTCATTTCTCCCCTGCTTACAAGCAAGTGGATCTTGTCAAAATGCTTTCTGCTTCTATTCCATTAAAAAAAGCCTTGCTATTCTGATTAAAAATAGCAGCAGTAGCAGCAGCAGCAACAATAGGACCAAATTAGCCATGATGACGAGCTCTGGAGTTGGACCTTCCAACATTATTTAAAAAAGAAAAAGAAGGGACTGTGGCAGAAGATGGGATTGCAGTCCTTTAACAGAGATGTCAGAGAATAAGCCAAAAGTCATTTGCATGCAAAACATGTATTCTGTCACTGATTCCAGGCTCCACCCTCTGGCTCCCAGCCTTAGCTTTGCAAATGCTGTTGCACTCCAGTCAGCCTCACTTGTGGCCAAATTGGCTAGGGATAATGGGTGCTGTAGGTCAACTGCTCCTGGGGATCCATGGATGGGAACCACTGACTTCTGGGCTAGATTGATCTAAATGGAAATGGTAACTTTGGCCACTGTCCTTGTGTCCAAATGACCTATCTAGCTGCAAGACTTCCAGACTGGTCCCTATCATTCTGGAGGTGGTCATAATATTTCTCAGTGAAGAATATTGGTACATGTTAAAGACTGACATACTAATTATGGCATCAGCTTGATAGACTAGAGCAAACCTGGGCATTGTATGCGGGCCACATCCGGCCCGATGGCTGACCCTGACTGGCCCGCATGAGGTCACTGGCAAATTAAAAGTCAGTGCAAATATACATCGTCATAATACAGATGCAAGCAATACAACTGCACTGCTTTTATTTTGAAGGATCTGCTAAATTGAATTGAATTTATTGCTTTTCATGTAATGTTAATGTTAATGTTTTTGTGAATATTCGTTAAATAGTGTTGTTCTGTGCTCCACATTTTCATTGTATCATTGTAATGTTTCATTTACTGTTTTTATAGAGATATATATTGAGCAGAGCTGTAAGTGTACTGGTCCGGCCCTTAGCAACTGTCAAAGTTTCTCATGTGGCCCCATAGGAAAATTAATTGCCCACCCCTGGACTAGAGGCTACTCCATCAGATGCATGAAGTGGTATCAAGCATCAATCATTCATCAATCTTCCATGTAGTCCAGAAAAGCATGTTGTATGTTCTTGATAACTTAACATCTTAATGCAAAGGTCTCTCGGTCTCTCTCTCTCTCTCTCTCTCTCTCTCTCTCTCTCTCTCTCTCTCTCTCCTTCCTTTCCTCCCTCTCTCCAGGTTTTCCCACCATGTTTGGAAAGAAAAAGAAAAAGCTTGAAATTTCTGGCCCTTCTAACTTTGAACACAGGGTGCATACTGGATTTGATCACAGAGAACAGAAATTCACAGGACTACCTCAGCAGTGGCATAGTTTACTGGCAGACACAGCAAATAGGCCGAAGCCTATGGTGGATCCCTCATGCATCACACCCATCCAGCTTGCTCCTATGAAGGTAGTGCTTGCTTCGTTTGCTCCTCCTCCTCCTCCTTTAACCCAATTTCTCTCTTACTGGAAGACCTCCATTTTATTAAATTTACAGGCTACTTCCCACTGCCAACATTTGGACTACACCAGCTTTCCCCATCCTGCCCCATGCCAAAGTTTTGAACCTCAACTCCCATTAGTCTTAGCCACCATAGACAAAAGTCAGAAATGCTGGGGTGGGGGGAATCCAAAACATCTGGAGAGGGCCAGATGGAGGAGTGCTGAACTACTGTGAGAGAAACACAAGGTAAGACGGTCACAGAACGCTGGCAATTGTTTACGAAGCTAGAAGGAGTTGCAGGATTTGGACACAGTAGATCCTCATGTCCAGTGAGCATGGCCACGTGCACATGGACTGGCTTCCTTCACTGACCACAGGCAGATGACCTGTGCATGAAAGGGCTCCAGGTGCACATTGGGTATGCATCCAGGAGGACTCCAGTTAGGGGAGTCTGTATTCCAGTTACCGCAGCCTGGTGTCATAGCCCTAAGCAATGTTTTGTTGCAATCACGAGCCTTCCCTCTACGTAAGGGTGCCATGCTTTGCTTTCCAGCACTGATATTGCAGTTCTGCTGGTGCAGATACCAATCATGAACCCAATTCCAATTCTGTCTAATTTCCTGTTCCATCAAGAAAAAAGATTTCCATCACCTGGACATATTTCTTGTGCAGATGAGCTGGACCTTTCAAAATAGGGACGCAGAAAGCATTCCTAAGCCTGCTGGGGGAGTAAAGCTCATTGAAATCAGTGGGATGACTTCTGAGTAGACATATTGTGCTGTAAACCCCATTGAAAGCAAAGGAGAGCATCTATAAATAATTGGCAGCATCCGCCTCTGGGCATGCATTCTGGCATGCGTGTCACTTTACCCCTGCAGTTCCTAAAATGATGACTATGAAGAGTTTTTCTGCATGATGCCATTTATGAGCTGTTAATCCACTGTATCTACTTTTGGTTCTACCATGCGACTGAAATCCAACCACTGGATGAGCCATATTTCCTTTCCTGCTTTCTGGAACATGAACTCTAGGTGGCACTGTGACAAAAGAAAATAGTGGAAATACCTGATAGGGCATAGCATTTTCTTTCATCTGCATGCGTACATGTCACATGCTCTAAATTAAAACTGGTCAACAAGCTAGTTGGATACGGAAGTGAAACCAGAGGGTCGCATCCTCTTCTAAAAAACCTGTAAAGCGAATGTGTGAACAACTGTTAGCAAGAAATGGCGAGTGCCTTGTGGGGAAAAGCCCCAAGAGTCTTTGTAAAGTGGAGCTCTCAGAATATGGGGAAGGAACCCCGAAAGCTCCATGAGGCTGGGGGGAACACCTATTGTCACTGATCACTGGTCAACCCCTACAAAATGTTTTTTGAAATAATTTTGCCCTCATCCTGAAGATAATCTAATTCCTCCCTCTTTGAATATAGTGGCAGATTGAGGGGGTTAGGTTGGGGAGTGGCATCTTCATTCAGAGTTAAATAACCAAGTAATGGGAAGTTTAAGGGATCACTGTGGATTTTAGGGATATGTAATCCTGGAAAATCCATTTCATTTGAGCCTGACAGACTTATACTGCATTTCCAGTCTGGTGACTGGAAACAAAACATGCCAGTTTTTTTTTTTTTTCAGGTTCCAGAAATCTTTGCAAAATATTCATGTACATTGAGAACTGAGATCTTTTGTACTTGTAGCAAATGGTGATTTGAGCAAATAGCGCCTTTTGCATAAACGGGATCTTTAAATCTGTGTAAACTGATTTGAAAGCTTGTGCTTTTAAAAAATATTTTTGTTACATGCACAGATCTGTTATATAACTCTGGGGACAGAATATTCCTTTGGTAAATACTGTCATCAGTTTCATCCTCTCATTGCAGCATCACATTCCCTAACTTCACAAAGACCCTGTCGTTGTCAATTTCGTCTAGTTCAGCACGGATACTACAATTTTCTACTAGGGTTACCTGACGTGTGCACATCAGACAGACATGTTTTTGAATTATGATTTCTGGTATTATTTTTCAGCTCCCGTGATTTCTACAGCTGAGGACATGGTTTTCTAGTCCCTTCCTTCCTTTGATCTTCCCACAGATACTACATATATAATTTCTGATTTCTTTCACTAATGTATTTGCTCAAACAAATGGGTTTTGATCCATTAATTTGTTTATGATTATTTTGCTGGTGGGCTTATTTATTTTATTTTATTTTATTTTTGCATTGAGCTAGGTTCTAGTGATAGAGCACCTAGTTTAAGTCAGGTCAGACCCATGAGGGGCTCAAATCTGAGATGCTGAAATTACCTGCTTTGCAATTTGCACAAATTTCCTCGTTTTTAAAAAAGGAGAATTCACACAAATGATGGTGCATTTTAAAAGCAGACATCTGCTTACTGTCTGAACTCATTCCAGAATGAATCAAGGAGAAACAGAACAGAATATCAAGGGCCAAGTTGGGAAAAATTCACTGAATTTTCATTCTCTCATCGTCTCACGGATTCTTTGCGCATCCCTAGTGGATTTGACTTTAAAAAAATAGTCATTTTAAAGCTATTAAAGCCATTGAAGAAGAAGAAGAAGAAGAAGAAGAAGAAGAAGAAGAAGAAGAAGAAGGTGGTGATGGTGAATACAATGGATCCTTAATTGCACAGGGCTGTTAACACTACCAAGGGATCTTTTGGCACTGGTCAAGCCTGGGGACAAAGGCAGGCATTTTCTTGTGTACATTCTGACTGTATCTCTTCTGCCAGCATAAAATGTCTGTCTCTATCCATTCAGCAAGACTTTATGTGGGTTACATATTCCCCTGGAAGAAATTAATATTACTTACCCTAAATTCTTAGACAGGATTAATTTAGGTGACTTGAATAGCAGCAGCTTTAATGAGTAACTGGGTTCATTATTTTAAAAATGAAGTCAGACTGAAATCTTTTTTCCCCTGCATGCATTTAAAGCCACTGTAAACAATTTTACTTTTGGAGCTGAACACTGAGAGCTTTCATTAATTGAGCAATTTTGCAGTGGTTTCAAAATCTGGAAACAGGCAACCAAAAACGACTCAGTAGTCAATTAATTTGCTTAGGTCGCCATGTGTATGCTTCAGCCACACCAGAAGCCCAGCATTTTCAGTCTCTGCAGCCACTTCAGAAAATGGAGAACAAAATCATTCTTGCTTTACCCTCTAGCTGGCAACTACAGACAACCACTTTGCCATGCTGTAGACATCTAAATATCTAGCATATGGTTCCCAGGCAATTCCTTTTGTCCTGTGACTAAGATAATTCAGGAAACTCCCTCTAACTGGTCTATAAATGGATTAAAACTGTCTCTTTTCCACTGGCCGTCATTCACACTGGCCACTGGGGAACCCAGTAGACGTAATTGTGTTTATTTGCCCCATTTACATCAGCTAGAAGGTATTGCTGGAGGAAGGGGACATGGAAATGAATGCAAAGATGTATTTTTATTTGCTTATCTCTTTAAGGCATGGGTTATAAATTCGTGCAGTTTGCATGCTAATGTAAACTTGTACTTTCCAGTACATTTGTACTTTCCAGATCCATCCATGAACCAAAACAGTCATCCTTTGGTATTCTCATTTTCCAAATTTTACAGTGCTATTCTCCACAATCAAAAATGGTTAGAGAAATGTGCATAAATGGGAAAGCACACACAACTACATGTCTACTAGACTAATGCAAATATATACAAAAACACATTATATAAATGTATATTTTAAACCGAATTTCTTGAAAAGTTTGTGAAAAGTGCACAAAATGTATGCAAATGGTCATACAACTTTGTTCTTTTCTTTTTTTTAAGAAAAGCAAATGGCTGGAGAAAAGGGATGGAATAAACTTAAGGCTAGAAAAATGAGAAGCTAGGTGATGCTAAAACTGGCAGACTCATCCTTCCCCATTCATGTCGACAGGGTTCACATAGTAATGCAACCCACCATGCCTAGCATCTTGCACTTCCCCAATATTTTGTGAAGCTTACCTTTATTCCACTGCACCTTGACGCTAGCAAATTCCTCCCTTTTAAAAGGTTGCTTTATATTGCACTGAACAGGGAATACCTGGACACAAAGCTGGTTCTCTCCTCCAGTCATCTCATGCCAACGAGGGAAACAGAGATGTCAGGAATGTGTACAGAGCTACCCAGAAAGCTGCTGAAACCCCTTGCCTTGCCTTGCAATCTCTCCAGTGCTACCAACTTCTTTCATCCCTTCCTTGGGGCATGCACCTAAAAATCCCAAGGAGAGGTCACCAGAGAATGATCCATAGGCATCTGGAACTTTTAATTTGGGGGCGGGGAATTGTATACAGGTGCACAGGAATAAATGTCCACTACTAGGACATTTGTGCAATTTGTTGCCCCCGTCTGCTGCTCTGCCATGAGATTTATACCATCTCCCGTTACATTCACTGCTTCACCTTAAGATTTGCCCAGTTTCTCCCCTGTGTTACTGCTTTGCCATGATATGTGGGAATGCTCAGCGATCGTTCCTCTGTAACCTTTATGTTTAATGGACAACGAGCCACAGAGACCCGTGTAGGGAAGTGACAAGGTGGTGGTAGGAACCAAAAGTAGCTGGTGGCTGCAGGAAAGAAAGTGCCAAGTTTTGAAATACAAGCCCAAATTTTAAACCATTCACTTTCTGGGTGCGTGTTTTGTTTTGTTTTTTGGCAGGGGGTGAATGGAATTTGCATTTTTTGCAAAAATGAGGGTGCACACAGTGTATTGGTCACCTTATTCACTAATTGTAACAGATGCGCACTTGCCATCAAATAGCTGCTTTCTCTAACACTGTTGCTCTCAGTTGTACGTTCCTCCAATGTAGTTCCTTAAGTGCATACATCAAGAAAAGCTGACTCGTATTAGTATTACATTACCATCTGCTGAATCTACAAGAAAAGAGTATATGTCTTAATTTCTCCCAAAATTCATTGCCAAGCAAACCAGATTC